TCTCGCAAATATGATGACATCGTAATCCTTGAGAAATATTCAGATAGGAGTTGGGGTTGTACAGTCAAAAATTTCAGTTCAGAATCAACCTTACGAGCACAAGGACACAGAGGTAAGTAATTAAGGATAATTATATGTGAGTAAGAATGTCAAAAAAAAAAAAATCTTTCGGGTATACGATGTAATAAGCTCGCAGCTTTACAGGAGTCAAAGGGTCTCTCTTAATTACTACAAAGAAAGACTAGATGAGGGAATAAGGAAGAAGGCTTCAACTTAAGCATAGTGACATAAGGAAGAAATGGTCTTGTAACAACAGTCTCACAACAACATTGTATGCACTCCATAAGAAAGTGGCACCTATCGTGGCTAATGAACGGGAAGAAGAAAAAAATCAAAAAGTGATATTCAAAATCATATAGGTTGCATGGAATTCCAACATGTGTGGGCACTAAGATGAACCAAGTATTCATACCACAAGTGGAAGAACGACCAGGAAAAGTCATTGCTTACATTTAAAGAAAACTGAGAAGGCACGAAAGGAAATCTAAGGTGCTAGCAATTTAAAGGAAGATTGCAAGTAGTATAGATATATATATATATGTAGGTCGCAAGCTAAAGTATGATAGAGTGACAAAGTTTTAGGTAGATAAGAGTAAGGATATAAAAAGATGAGTGAGAAGGTAACGAGAACAGGTAAGGCCTCGAGATTAAGCCATCAAAATAAGAGAGCTGGTGGTTTTCATAAGTTATAGAAACCTCGGTACAGTCTAAACGAACTCAAAGGAGTCTAAGAATATGAGCAATTAGAAGAGATGAAATGCAGTCCTGATAGTAGAATAAGGGTGTAATGGTGATAGATAAGAGGATGGCGCTTAGGCCTTTGATTAAGAAATAATTTAAAGAAAAGAGATTTCATGGATGGAACACTATTAGAATACCCCCATAGGATAAATCACGTTGGGATGATATGAAGTACGGTTATTGAAGTATAGTATCACCCCTGAATGGATCAGGAAAATCACTCCAGATGTTCCCCGATGAGACGTAAGCCCTAGTGGCAACAGTCATAAGAGATATCCGATTGTGAGACCAATAAGCGCAACAGTCAACATTCGAGGACGAATGTTCCAAAGGGGGGAATGATGTTACACCCCGCAGTATTACGTCGATGTTACACCCTGTAGTATTGTACGTTGAAATTTTCGTAAGATAATTGACCTCAGTTTAAGTACAAGATTATTTAGAGATTATAAGTATAATGCTACTTCAAACAAATAATAAGTAAATTTGTGAAGGTGAGAGAGTAAGCGAATCGAAGAAAGTGAGTTTTCGTCGAAGTTTGACAATTTGAGAATAAAATACGGTCCAAGCTATAATACCCCGTATTTATGGACTTATGCCATACAAGGTACGACATGACCATGATAGTGAGGTGTATAAGGTATGTTAAAAATGATTAGTATATTAAGTAATTTGGGATAATTCTTAATTATGTGAATAATTAGTTAATTATTGGATTAGTGGGGGATTAATAAGTTGATTAAAAAAAGGGATAAACTATTTTGGATAAACTTGATAGGCTCCTAACGTAGCAGCAAGTTTTGGCCAAATTAATAACTCCTAAGTCATGTAATTTGGTGGCACATTAGAGGACTTGTGGCCAAAGTCATCAAAGTGTGGGGCCCACACCCACTAATACAAAAAACTTCTTGAATTCACAAAATAAGATACTTACATCTCTAAAGTGACGGATGAATTTCAAAGAAGAATTATATAAGATTAGGATCAAATTCAAAAGTGATGGCAAATGGGGGTGGACCCCACTGTCCACTAACTACAACTATTATATTTACTTTTGATGGATAAACTTATGTCTTGAAGATCTATGTATATCATCAGCAACGGTTTAGCAAGTGTGGAAGAAATAAATTTTTTGCCTCTTCTCAACATAGTTTAGAAAAAGGTCCCCTTGAGAAATATGAGCTACAACGTGTGGAGGTAAAGATATATCCTTGTATGGAAGAAAAATGTGAAGAACAACATAGAGATTATGCCTACGATGGTTTCCTCCGGATGATTTCAAATCGGCTTCGAAGCAAAGTAAGTTAGAAGAAGAGTGTAATCTTTCTCAAAAATAATATACAGGTTTTGCGCACCACCTCGATCTCGTTGTTCTGTTTTGGCATGTTGGTTAATCTGGGCTTTATTCTATGTGAAGTAAGGAGGAATAAGTGTATTTCTTGAAAAACAAGGTAATAATTTTCCTCTCCTTGGTATATTTAAATTCTTCCAGGTCATGGCTAAATTGTAGGATGAGAATTTTGGGATTAATAGTGAAAACTCGTATTTTGACGTTGCTATTGTTGTATCAGTTATTCGGTAATTTTCTAAGTTTTTTTTCGTGACTGAAAATCATTGGAGTAGCTTGGATATATAGTTGTAGTCATCACTGATATGTGTTTTAAAGGAAAGAAAATATTGAAAAAGTATGTTTGATAATCGTAGCCGAGCTTGCCGCTCGTTGTATCATAGTTTGGGTTGTAAAACTTGTTGTGGGAGTTGCTAGTTGTGTTATTGTATTACCTTGACCATGGTAGGCTTGAGCGAATGATAAGAACTGGGAGATGTCGCATGTTTCATTGTAGGATTGGTTACCTTCTCTTATGGATTAAGAGAATTGTTTGTGTGATTGACAATAGTATTATTCGTGTTATTGATAATTAGGTATTGCTGGATTGCTCTGGTTATTGTTGTTGGTATATGGTATAGGAGGAGGCTCTTGTTACTGGGGAGATGCTGCCCAAATTTACATAAACGAGCTACTAGTTTAAGTTGCGGACTTAGCCTTTACTCAACACTAATTTTGAACCTCCTTATGGTATAGTAGATTGAGTTGAGTTGTTTGAAGAATTGCTTGGAAAGTATTACAGACTCAATAGAGTTAAGGTATGTTAAGGCTATCCCTTCTTTCTTTTTGGCATGATCCATATGATACAAACGAAACGTGCAAACGTAGAACTTTCATAAATGACTTTATTCATAAAAGTACTAAGGGTGTCTATATTCTTGATTCCCAATGTGAATTATTATTATATCTTATGTTCATGGGTCTCATAAAAATACGTATTTGATAAAGTTTATCCGAAAGGCATATTGATTTTATGACATTACGAGAAATTTTATTAACGTATTTCTTATGCATTTCATGCATTTATACATGTACATTGACCTATGACCAGATGGCGTTATATACGCGTATATTATATATATATATATATATATTATACGCGTAAAGGTTACGGCGTTATATACGCACCACCACCTGATCAGCTGGTATACATTGATGATTTTGCCCACAGTGGCCGAGATGATATGATGGGATGCCCTCAGAGGCTTGATGATGTTATGAACGCATATACTTATGCATGGTATGGCATTTATACGCATATGCATGACATTGCAAATATAATTGATTCACAAAGCTAATTCAGACATACATGTTGAGTCTTTTACTCCATGTTTCTCTCATGTCTATTGCTTACTGATTTTCATTCCTTACATACTCGATATATTATTTGTACTGACGTTCCTTTTTCCTGGGGATGTTGCGTTTCATGCCCGCAGGTCCCGATAGACAGGTCGAGAGTCCTCCAAGTAGGCTATCAGCTTAGCGGAAGATGTTGGTGCGCTCCATTTTCTCCGGAGTTACTATTGGTCAGTATGATTAGGACATGTGTTGATTGGTATGGCGAGGCTCTGTCCCGATCTTTATGACAATTATGTATCCTTAGAGGCTTGTAGACATATGTCGTGTACGTGAATGATTGTATGGCCTTATCGGCCTATGTTCGGTGTAATTTTGATCTTATAGGCCAGTATGTCATATGTATAAGTTTGTATTCCCTCATGTTTTACTCCGGTTCATTTACCTATGATAGAATGATACTAAAGATATGTTACGTTCGTACTCGGTTGAGTAAGGTACCGGGTGCCCGTCGCGGCCCATCGGTTTGGGTCGTGACAACCTCGAGAGCGCCCCTGTTGTTTACCTCTATTTGCTGTGTTGTTACCTTTCTGAAATTTCTCGTTGTTCATTTCTGAGTCATTTCATTGTATTATTATATTCTCTGTCTCATTTCCTTTTATTCCATTATGGCCTTGACCTGACCTGACCTCGTCACTACTCTACTGAGGTTAGGCTTGGCACTTACTGGGTACCGTTGTGGTGTACTCATACTATATTTCTGCACTTCTTTTTGTGCAGATCCAGGTTCTTTTTACCATGCCAGATACAAGTAAACTCGACCATACGTGGAGACTCCAAGGTATATTTGCTAGCGTCCATAGACCTCGGAGTCTCCCTCTACCCTTATTATGTTATTTTCCCCATTCTCTTTAGACTCTAATGTATAAAGACACTTAGTATTTTCTCTTAGAAGCTTGTGAATCATTTTTATCGGGTTTTGGGAGTTGTAATTATTTGAATCGCAGTTTCTATTTATATATCATGTGTTGAGATTTGAGTTCAGTTTTATATTTAGTTATTCCGCAAATTGTTAGGCTTACCTAGTCTTAAATACTAGGTGCCATCACGACATCCTATAGAGGGAAATTGGGGTCGTGAGACTAAGCTATTAAAATAATTGCACAACTCATATATTAAAGTAATGATAAGATATTAGAGTACTTTTGTGTGATGTAATTTTTTTTATTAAATTGGCTAAGTAAGAATAGGGGTGGGTATTCGGTATTTCGGTTCGGTATTTAAGAATTTTGGTTCGGTATTTTGGTATTCGGTTTATCAGTTGTATATACTAAATACCGTACCAAATTATTTCAGTATGGTTCAGTATTTTTTATTTTAGTTCGGTACGGTTTCGGTTTAATAATTGCTAAATAAGCTTATGACGCCTGACAGCTTACAACACAATGAATTCACAATTCACTGACAGCCCTCTCCTAGCGGTTTGTCTCCTTTACCAAGAGCATGAAGCATGATGTTAAATGCATGAAAATCGGGTGAAAATCCATTTCGACCCATTCCATCTAACAATCTATGAAATTGATTCAGTGGGGCAACAAAAAAACAGAGAGGGCATCCCTCAATTCAAGTTTACACTAATAGTCTCGAATCAACTTAGTCTTAATTCTTAAATACGGATTTCAGGAAGACGCTCAAGACAACACCTAATATGCTTCCTTAAACTATATGTGCCATCCTTCTTTGGATGAACATTATAGACTCGACCACAATGTTTGCACTCTACTTTGCGAACTTCTTCGTTATCTTCTTTCACCTCAAAATATTTCCAAATATGATAGCGTACTTTAGGAGCACAGGGCATGATTGCACTTGAACCTAAAAAAAAAGAAAGATAAATCATAAGTTAGAATATTAGTTTTTTATGATAATAAAATAAAACTACAAAAGTATATCACCAAACAAATAGAGTATTAAACTTACCACTCAAGTTACAAGTTGCAACTATACATCAAACAATGCTAGTAGTGCTTTCATTATTTTTCATATCTAAAGATAGACCAAATATGTCATACAAATAAACAAGTATGATATATTATTTTGAACTAAAATACACACAAAATATTAAAGCTTACCAAGCTCGAGTTCCTCAAGATACTCTAAGTCTTCTTCAACACTAATAGGATTCTTCTCTTCTCTAAGCTAATCTTGAACACAAACAAGAGCTTGCACACATTTAGGAGTCAATGAACTCCTAAATGAATCAAGAATACGGCCACCAGTGCTAAACGCACATTCCGACGCCACACTAGAAATTGGAATGGCCAACACATCACGAGCCAACTCCGAAAGAATAGGAAATCTAGGAGCATGTATTTTCCACCAACTTAAGATATCAAATTCTTCACTAAAAGGCTCTTGTTCTTCACTAATGTATTTATCCAACTCCGATTTAGCACCCCCACTTCCATTGTCTTCCTTTTGTTTCTTCAAGTGAAGCTTTGTCCTTATTAATGATGCAGTTATAACACTCCCACTAGATGTATTAGATGCGTTATTAGATGAAGTAGAACTAGATGGAGGTTGAGGACAAGATCCAGTTGAATACTTTTTTAAATACTCTTCAAACAAAGAATTCATATAAGCATACACCTCAACATTTATTATTTTCCCTTTTTCCTCCCCAAAAAGCTCTTCAAGTGCAAGGCTAACATATTCAAATTTGTTACGTGGATCCAAGACGAAAGCAATAAAAATTATTTTTTTCATCTTTTCAGGCTCACCCCAATACTTCTTGAACTTTTCTTGCATCCGCTTAGTCATTTTTCTCAAATGCTCATCCTCACTAATTAAACACATTTTCAAATGACAATAAAGTTCAGATACATCCTTAAAATGAGAATTACAAGTGACATAACGTGAACCTGAAACTTTTTTGGTGAGCTCGTGAAATCTTGCAAGAAACACTATCACAATCCTCACATTCACCCAATCATCATATTCAAGAGGACCTGCACTACTACCATCTTCACAAAGATGAGAACATTGATAAGCAAAAAATCCATCATCAAAAAGATGAAACTTGTCAAAGGCCTTTTCAAAGTTTTGTGTCGTATCCAATATCAAATAGGTGGAATTCCACCTAGTAGGAACATCCAAATACAATGTTTTGGTACATTCTACCTTTACATGTGTACAACACTGTTTAAACTTTAAGGTCCTTGCATACGAAGATCTTACATACCTCACAATATTTCTAACACGTATGACAGAAGTATCAATTTTTTTCAAACCATCTTGCACAATTAGATTTAGTATATGAGCCATGCATCTCACATGAAGATGTTTACCACTCATCATATTAGTTTTCCACATATCTAACTTTTTAGACAATTCTTTGACTGTGACATCATTTGAAGAAGCATTATCCACGGTAATAGTGAACACCTTATCTAATTTCTATTCAAGCAAACAATTAGAAATAGCTTTAGCCATCTTTTCACCCTTATGACTAGTGATAGGGCAAAAATTTAGTATTCTTTTATGCAACTTTCAATCCCTATCAATGAAGTGGGCTGTCAAACACATATAATTTATTTTTTGCAATGAAGTCCATGTGTTTGTTGTGAGGCAAATTTTTGATTGTGCTTCTCTAAAAGACCTTCTTAGATTTTGCTTCAATTCACCGTAAACTTCATAACAATCCCTTGTTATTGTTGTACGAGAAGGAAGACGAAATAGTGGTTGAGTTATTCTCATAAATTTCATAAACCCTTCCTTTTCTATAAAGCTAAATGGTGGTTCATCAATAACTATCATCTCAATTAAGGTCCTCCTAACCACTTCTTGATCAAATTTCCAAAGTGATCCTCCATCATTTTGGCAAGATTGAAAATTTATCTTTGTTTGACTATTATCTTTATCAATGTTAAGTGGGTATTCTTTGTATCTAGCCAAATGATTTTTCAATCCTGTTGTTCCATTCCTAGATGAATTAGCAGCATAAGCTTGCTTACAATATCTACACCTTGCTTTACTGACCTCATTTACCTCAAATTTATCAAAATATTGCCAAACTTCGGATCTAGATTGCATGGCTTTTCTTTTCTTAGAATCTTGAGTATCAATTGTGTTGGTGTTGCTATCTTCAGTAATAGGTAAACTTTCAGTTGAACCGGCATCACTTACTCTACTTTTATTTGCCATCTATACAAAATTAAAACAAATATAAACATAAATTAAGACTTATATTTCATAACTTCATTCGAGTTGCTACTAGTTGCTATTGCTTAAATGAATCTCTAATATCCTTAATAGATTTTTTTCTACAATGTTGGAAATGAAATGATAAGATAAAAGAATTTAAGTCTTGTACATTGGTAAGCCGTGTAAAATAATTATATAATCAAATTAAATTTGTCTTTATAGCATGCTTGATATTGTAACATGAAAATAGAGTGATAGTTTGTTATATTCAAATTAATTATAATAATTATATATTAAAAAGATAACACCAAAGTAGGCAGTATATGTAACTTAGTCCTAAATAAAAAGAAAATCTAAGAGAGAGATGAAGCCTTCATTAGTGGATATTTTACAAAAAAGAATAATTGAAACTTAACTTTAGTAATTAAGAAAGGACTTCAGAATGGGTCTAATGAAACTAATAATCCATTCATTCCCCAATCAAGCAAACCAAGATTATTCGATAAAACACTTTAAGATTCAAAATTCGTTGATCACTTTAAGTATAAACAAGTAAAAAGGAAATCAATGTATACGACTCAAATGCCCAAAATATCAAACCTATTCAAGATTCAAGCCAAGATGCAAATTGGATATGACAATTAAATTGGATATTCAGAGACAGAAAGAAAAATCAAAGGAATGGAGGGAGAGAATGCTTTTCGATTTGGTTAACGTCAGAAACTTTTATTTAACGTCGGAGGAGATTAAGGTCACCGTCGAAAACTTGTTAATAAAAACATGATACCTTTAAAGAAACTAGAAACATACCTTTGATTCTTTGAAGTCACAGTAGCCGATCTCTTAGTATTCTCACAGCAACCGTTCTCTTTGAAGTTTGAAGTCTTCGTTTTGGCTGAAAGCCTGAAAGGCTGAAACTATCGCCGTTTGCCGTTTCTGACTTTCTGAAACTATCCCTTTTTCTAAATTCCCTATCCCCTAATCCCTAATTGAATGAAAGACTAGAGATAAGGGTTGGGCTAGGGCGCTGGGCCTTATTAGGTTGGGCTGGGGTTCTGGGCAGTATGTATAGATATAGGTTCAATTTAAAAGTCTTTAAAAATTCGGTATTTCGGTACACCGAAATTTCAAGATCCTAATACCGAGGACCGTACCGTTATACCGAAATATCGAAAATGTAATACCGAATTAGACCGAAATACCGAAAAAAATGAAACCGAAATACCGAATTAATTTGGTCCGGTTCGGAATTTGATTTTTCGGATTTTATACCCATCCCTAAGTAGGAACAATATTCATCATTTTCAACAATTTGTGCTTTTTAAAATTTTATTTCAAAACTCAATCACATAATTTTATAATAATTGTATAATTTTTAAAATTTTATACTTAATCGATATGAAATGTGCGCGTACCTCAAACTAAGTATAATAAAACATAATTTTATAATTGTACAACTATAGTGGGTAAAGTTATCACACCAAAAATTAACCCGATAAATTGCGATGATATATAATGAATAATCCAATGGTCCTAAGGAAGAAAAACCAGCAAATTAACCACCCATTACGCGCGTGAAGGGCAGAGCAAAAATTTTCACGCCTATCGTTTCATCTTGTGGCTGAAAAGCCAGCGAATGCCCCCAATAACAGAAAAGAGGATATAGCCTCCTCTCCTGTACAATTTCTAAGAGTGCGCCATTCGAAAATGGCCACTACGATTTTTTGCCGCCCCAAATTCATTCATTCCCCAAATGCTAAAACTCAGCAGCCGCATCACAATTGCTTTCAACTTGCCTCAAACCTCTACTTCAGTCACAACTTGAAAAGCAAACTCAGTGGAGCTCAGTCCATACGACGGCGGCGTAGTAGTTTGCGTGTGCATTGCCAAGCAGCTGCGACTGACCTTGAGCTTGCTGCCCGCGCTGGCAAAGACCGTCTATTGAAGGTCTGTTTATTGCGCCTTTTTTTTTTTTAAAGTTTAAGTTATATGCACTGGTGTTGTAAAAGAATTTGATCACTTATTAAGTAATTATAGTTAAATGACCTGGTTAGGAAATTAAAAAAAAGATTGCCCGGTGCACTAAGCTACCGCTATGCGCGGGATCCGGGTAAGGGCCGACCACAAGTGTTTATTGTACGCAGTCTTATCCTGCATTTTTGCAAGAGGCTGTTTCCACGGTTTGAACCCGTGACCTCCTGGTCACATGGCAACAACTTTACCAGTTACGCCAGGGCTCCCCTTCCGGTCAGTAAATTAAAGTTAAGCATTATTTGATAAAAATAGTAATTAACCTGATATCACATATTAAAATTCATTTTACCGATTAGGTAAATATAGGTAAATCTTTTGATAAGTATGACATTGGCTATGTAATAAAAATGGTTACTAACCAGCTATCACAAATTAAAATTTGAAATTTGCAGCTAACCTGATATCACATGTTAAAATTCATTGATAGTGTAAAGAATCTTAAACTGTCCGTGTGTCTATAACTTAAATCCTTTTTTTGGTGGATGAAAAGTCTGTTTCACCTTTTGTTTTTTACTTTAATTTATGCGCTGAAGGTACAAAAAATATTTACACGATGAGCTCACTTATTAAGTAATTATAGTTAAATCTTTTGGGTTTTCATTGTTTTATGATATTTCGTTAGGTGGATTAATTGGCATTTGCTATTTTGTATGTGTGTAGGTGCCCATCTCGAATATAAGGAATTTCTGCATAATAGCACATATTGATCATGGAAAATCGACGTTGGCAGATAAGTTACTGCAGATGACGGGGACTGTAGAGAGCCGAGAAATGAAGGAACAGTTTCTGGATAATATGGATTTGGAGAGAGAAAGAGGCATCACTATCAAATTACAGGTGCACATTATTTATTAATCCAGAACCCAACAAGAAACAAAAATGTTCTACTTGGTTTACGCGTGAGTTTTGAGTAACATTTCTGGTGTAGTTTTGGTAATTTGATAGTACATATGTTACAATATGTGTGCAGTTATACAATATTAGTCAAGACCAGAAATGGTTGCAGGTAGCAGACATAGAGGATAAATGAGAGAATATATTTTGAGACAGTTTGTCATGTACTGCATAGACCTCCAAATGCACTCATTTGTAGGCGTGGAACCAGGATGCTCGAATGTGTTAAAAGAAGATTGAGGTATGCCTAAAATAACATAAGAGGAAGTTTTCTCTAAAGACCTAAAATCTCTTGGAATCCATGCAAATTTAGTGAAAATAGAACATTACGGAAGCAAACGATTCGTAGATGATACCAATTAAAAGGTTTAGACATGTTGGTATGTTACATTAGGTATTTAGGTCCAATATTTATTAAGAGTCTTTTTAGTCTGTTTAGAAATTTGCATGTCAGTAGAAAATGTAGAGAATCTTTCGTGTTAGAGAACCCCCAAACTATTAAATATTTGGATAAAATGGATCCAAATGGAGCGGAATCGATAGTGACGATTTATATTGCCAACTCTAGTAGCTTGGGATAGAGACATAGTAGTAGTTGGTTTCTTTGATCTCTGATAGAATGGACTGGCTTCAAAAGGATTTCTTGCGGGGTGGATGTGGGGGAACCTGCATGTTGTCTTAGATTAAAGGAGGAGGCCTGCATTATTCACTTGCATGTGGCTGTTAGGTTTGTTTCTTGAGAATTGTGTCAATGAGAAATGCTACCGTTGAGAGAGATAAGCGG